GGAATTTGAAGCCTATATGCACAATAAATATGTAAATCAATTTAATTAATAGAGTTTGGTTTTTGTTTGGTATTTAGCTCTCTGAACTGAGGCCATACCTTCCTCGCATGCAACCTTCCTCCCTTTTCCGACACATGACGAGCTCCTCTGGAATGAACCAGAAAGATAAAGAAGAAGACCTGGGCACACTAGACCAGCAGGTGATCATTTTGTTACAGTCTGAATTGCAAAATGTTCCAACCTTGACTTGTTTTACATCCATAATAACACCTGGACATCATTTTGAAAATGATTTTTCTGACCCAAGATCCTTTTATCATTTCTTCCAGTCCTACTACCTGTGCTATAGCCTTCTGACATTAGCAAATGAAGCATCCAACTTTCAGTTTTTTCCCGCTCACCAAAAGGTAAATTCTTTTTTCCAGTCTTATCTGATTTTTAGATGTTATTGGCCTGATTTTGATTGAATGTATAAACCCTTCCCTTTTTTTTTCTGTCCCTCAGAAGCAGCTGCTGTTTTTGTCAACTGAGCTGGAAACGCATGTTAAATGTGACATCAGGGAGAGTGAAAAATGTCTTTATCGCAGCAAGGTAAGCATGATTTAACAAGTGTGTGTTTGTGTGTGTTTTTCTGCAATTCACAAAATAAAATCTACAATACTTTTAACCAAATATGGGAGCCGCTGGTCCAGGCCTATGCTGTTCAAAACTATTTTGAATGTTAATGACTTGACTAGTCATTCGCCAGTAGCTTGTTAGCAGTAACACTAAGCAGACAGAATATCAGTTATTACCTCTCAGCTGTAAAAGGCTTTTTTTAATCGACATTACGAGCAGGTGGGTAGACACTTAACTTTTTAAATGCGATAACTCAAAAACGGGGCAACATAGAAGCTTCAAATTGATACCAGAGAACAAGGTGACATCGGATTTAGAAATTGATACAATAGGTGTGTCTACTAGGACATAGAAGGGAAGCACTGGTGGTTGCCAGCATTTTTGCATCTTTGTCATCAGATTCAACTTGTTTTAGATTGACCCGAGATCACAAGTAAATCTGGTGCTTTTTCCTCATGTATTTAAGTTCCTAATTTGAAAAACTTACCCCACAGTTAATGCGTTAGCAGTTTTCTCTTTCCTCCTAATGGCAGCCTTTTCTCCAAAATTAAATGTTTCAAGTTTAGTTCATAGATAACACTGTACACAGATCTGTTAGTCAAGATATCAAAACTGCTTAATAGCATTTCACAGATTAGCAAACAGTATAGATGAGGCTAGACCTAATAGACAGTCGTAATATATTTCCAGATTAGGAACCCGTTTAACTTGCTGAAACGCTATGCCAGAGACATCTGTACTACTTTATATTTATATTAAATATATTCATATGAATCATCAGAAATATCAACAAATCATTGCAAGTTTCTTTTCAGAGGTTCTGATAAATGACATTTTCAGTGTGCTACATAAACCTGTATGAGAACTCTTGCCTTCCTCTTCTTCCTCCAGGTGAAGGATCTGGTGGCGAGGATCTACACCAAGTGGCAGATGCTCCTTCAGAGGACAAGGCCTCTCGATGTACAGTAGTCACACACATTATTTAAATAATTTCTTTACAGGATGTGTTTACTTTGTGTCTTAAAAGATAATTTTATAATCTTATTGGCTATGCTGGTCTTTTCCCTTCTCTAGGATAAACTGTATGATTATTGGCAGCCTGGGGATACTTTGGGGTACAGCCAGGAGGAGCAGGAGGATGAAGATGACACTGCAGAAGAGGAGACTGTGGTGGAAGAAGAAGTAGAGGGGGATGAAGAGGAAGATGGAGAAACAACTTTAACTGAACAGAATGAAGCTGTCATGGTTGCTGAGGAAAAAAAAGATGCCAGGGTGGAGCCAGAAGAAGACACGAAACTTGGTGAGACAGAAAAAGACACAAATGTTATTGCAGCAGAAGAAGGCATGACATTTGGTGAACAAGAAGATATGAACACTGCAGAGACGGAGGAAGACATGAATATTGATGAGGTGCTAATGGAGGAAGATGGTATCCCAAGTGACATAAGCAAAACAGAAGAGGAAAAAGAAACGGTACCTGGGAATTTAAACCAAGTAGTGCCTGAGACGGATCCTCAAGCACCCTTAGAGTCTGAGGGAGTGGATGAGCAAGTGGCTGCTCCCAACATAGGGCATGTTGATGAGGACACTGAGATTGAAGAAAGAAAAGGAACACACCCGGCACCAACAGCTGGTTTATTCTGATAGAGATGATCAGTTTTCAAGGCTTTAACAGCCATTGCCTTATGTTATGCTGAATTTGCACTATTTACCAGACCTCTTTTCCTAATTCCAAAAGGTTTGAGACTTTCACAGTGATTTTAAGGCAAACTGTGTATTTACCTCAGTCAGTGAGGTTATGTTTTTGTCGCTTTGTTTGTCTGTTGGCACATTTAGGCACAAGCTTCCAGGCTGATATATTTTTATGAAAGTTTGTGGAAAGATGGAGCATTGGTATATTAAAAAAATTCATCGTTTTGTTGTTTTTTTGACTGCTGCATGTGTGCATATTGTTGTTTTATTGTTAAGTGGCCAAATATGGAAAATAAACTTTAAGTTAAATTAATTTCTTGTCTCCATAAGCAGCGCCAGACAAAATGTCCACCCACCAGTGTTTACAGTACTATTGTGTTAGTGATAATCTTTCTAATATGCAGAAAAGTAACAGTGAGAGGATTTGTGGAAATATCCATGACTTGCTATTGTAGCAACAGATTAATGACATTTTTTCATATTTTGGCTAAACGTTAGGCAGCTTGTGAAGTACCAAGGAAGTAGATTGGTTCACACATTTATTTATTTATTTTTTGGTCTCAAGTAATGTTTATTGTATTAAGTGTCACCCATGTATGCATTTTTGTTTTGCTTCCACGGAACCACTTTCTTGGAATTTTTTTTAATATCACTTTGTTACCAGCAGCATATTACAAAAACACATCCTTTTTTCACAATTATTTAGTTGGAACCAATGAGAAATGCCAAAACTAACACATTTTCACAGGCATAAAAGAGTGCTATTTGGCACCATTAAAGTGATGCCAAATGGTATGCACTGTCCTTTAAAATTCTGGACAAATGTTGGACAAAAAAAAATGTTAGGAAGAAAGTGTACTCCACGTAAACAAAATCTTAAAGTCATGTTCTTAAGAAAAAGGAAAACATTCAACGAGAGATGTATCTGGCCCTTCAGTTGATCCATTTACTCATCAGAGTGAGCTCTCATCAGAGATGGTCTTGTCCAAATTGGTCTAATTAATAACACAGAAAGGTACAGTCAGAAACTCCATGCAATACTATCTACAAAGCATCAGATTGGTAGTTGCATCATTTTTCAGCATGACAATAATCCCAAACAGTGCAGTAAAAGCACAGCCGGATGGAAAAATGCACAAAAGAACGATCATAGATTGGCCTCCCCAGAGCCCGGACCTTAACATTGAAGCAGTGTTGGATCATTTTGACAGATAATGGAAGAAAAGTCAGTCAACATCTAAAGAAGAGCTTTGAATGTCCTTCAAGAAGCCCGGATAGTTATTCTTGAGGACTACTCAAAGAAATTACTACAAAGCTTGCCTATGAGAGTTCAGGCTGTGCTGAAGAATGAAGGTGGTTGTACTAAATATTGACCTTCATCTTTGGCTTTTGTATAAACTGTTTTTACCTTGTGTAACGTAGTTCCATGTATGTTCGCCTATGTTTAAATAAATTACATGTATATCCCATTTTCACAGTGAAATAAAATTAAAAGACTTTTGTACAGCATTTTAGTTTAATTTTATATAAGCAGTATTCACAAATTTCTTTTATTGTCAGAATTATCATGGTCAAATATTAATCTAATCAAATATAGAACTTGTGTAAAGGTGTAAATCAGTGGGTTAATTTTAAGGTGTGCTTTAGATTAGGTACATGCATCAGTAAAACTCTGAAGACATTTGCTTTGAAAAATGTCAGTTTTAGTAATTGGTTTAGCTGCAAATTACCACAAAAGATAACAGTCTTTTCTACATGGTGTTTATAGAAAAGATATTCATATTAGTAAACTGTACATGCTTTGTTACTGACCTTTAGAGGGCACTGTCCTCCATCTAGACTCATGGTTCTCATATAAACACAGGAGAACGGGAGCTCCTTGTAACATTACCTGTCCCGGAAATGCTATAAAAAAAAAAGACTAAGCACCCACATACATGGCAAACAAGAGACGAAGCAGCAGAGTGAGACCAAATGAGCCCTTGTTTTTAGTTAGTTTTTTTTTTTCAATCTGTTATAGCTGATCACAGCTGGTGCCAAGAAGTGCCACGTAACTCACGCAGCCACATTACCAAGCATTTCATGCGTACCTCAATCTTTTCATCAATGGATCAAGAATATCAGCGGTCTGAGCACTTTTATTTGCTATAGCAAATAAAACTAATAAGAAAAAAGTAAATTATTTGCCTTTGCGACATGATACTCATATGAGGTTGGTAAGATTTTACAAAATAGGCCTTCTTTAGTTGTTTAAGACGAAGAAAAAGTCTGAAACGAACCGATTACTCATAAAATGTGATCTAATCTTGTGCGCCACCCCCCTGTCCATGACATGCACAGTTGGTGTTTGGAAAGGCTTTAGCCATGTTTTTTTGTTTTGTTTTGTTTGTTTGTTTGGTTGGGGTATTTGGTCTTGTTGTAATTTCAATAACAGATAAATGTATTCGGTTTTGCTTTCGTTTTTTGTTAACAGCTGACACGTGAATGAAGAGTTTTGCTTTGCCGTTACTTTATTGTTCTCTCTCGCTCTCGTTTATATATATCGGATTTCTTCTGGCATTCAATAACCTATGTATTTTAAATAAAACGCAACACTAACATGAATGAGATGCAGAGACAACCACACCAGTCACCCAACGCGGAAAGCCAGCCGTTTGGTCTGTTCCACTCCGCCCCACTTTCACTATGTTGCTGGGCAACGACAGTCAGGTGACTGTCTGCAGACAGAATATGGCTGACCTGTCAGAAGACCAATGAGGGAAAGGCCAAATTTTGCATAATCGATCTTATTTTCCTCGTCGTTTCTGACAACACTTGACCGTCTTAGAAAGCATTTATCCAGAGGTCGTCAAGGTAAGCTCGGGAGTGCGTGGTTTTTGTCTGTGTGTGTGTCACTCTCGTTAGCTCGGAACAGCAGCAACCACCGTTGGTGTTGGCTAGCTAAGTTAAGCTAGCTGTTAGCCAAACAGTCTGCGCTTTCTCTACCAAGAAAGAAATTCTAGTTACAAGAAATGACATTTAGGCAACTCTGTGGATTCCTCAAGCTTCCTTCCGGAAACTTGTAACACTATTGCAGAACATGTTGTGTCGAAGGATATTAGTAGAATGATAAAAGTTAAAAGAGGAAGTTATAAGTTAGAATTGCATTCATCGTGTTGCATTTCAGGCGCATATTTAAAGCAGTCAGTATCTGTATGCACACGCACATGCACAGACAGTCCTCCCATGAAAACTTTTAAATCTATATTTGGATAAGGTCTCCAGAAAAGTAATCTGTTCCGATTTACTCAGACGTAATGACCGCTGTAAGTTTTTGGTTTGCTTTGTTGTGGCTTAATTGGCTCAAAGGTCTTGGATTAGAATAGGTACTTGCATCACATTCAAACCACTCGTAGCTAAAGCGAGTAGCGGTGACTATCTCGTTACAATTAAATGTTTTTTCTGGCTAGGCTAGTCTAGCTATGTTAGTACAAATGCTGTATAAGCACCTGCTGCATACAGAGCTATTAAACATGGAGTTGCGACGCTCTGTGATAATTTCATTTCATGCGCATTTTTTTCCAATTACTGTTTAAGTTTAAAACACACACACACACACACGTGTATACAGCAGCACTTGGAATGGATCTCTAGCATCAGCTATGCACTTCTATTACCAGCGAACTGTAGCCAACCAACATTGGGCTCTTCCCGCAGCGGAAAAGTGGTGTTTGTATCCACAATATACAAGTGTCACACCACAGGAGGAAAGTAGCTGACCTCTGGAGAATAGGCACATGACACTGTAGTAGTAGTAGTGACATACCCACAGTTGTTTTCAGTGGAGAGTTTTAAACCTTTGACCAGAGTTCATGCTGGCTGTTTAGCTGTGGGAGGCATCATGTGGGTTTTTTATTTGGCCATGCCGATGTCCTTGACTCTGATCTGGAGTGCCACAGTCCTGCCAAAGACCGCATTGTTTGTGTTAACTGTTGTAATTTCTTTTGATCTCAGAGCAGTGAGATTAATTACTGATATTGTACAGTTTTGCACTCAAAATTTATAGGTTAATTATTAACAGATTTGTCTGTTTGATACAATGTTCCAAGCTTATTGGGTCACCTTAAATGTAGAGAATATGACAAACTGGTCCTCAGTTCCTACTTTATCTCTGTGATATGAATAGTTTTTTCAGTGTCTGAAGACTTGTTGGTAAGGGGAAAGTTGTTTCTGGATGATGCACTTACAAAAACTACAAAAAAAACCCTAAAAATTTTAAAAGCTATTTTCATCACCAAGCTTTGACATTCAGTGCATTTGTTCAAAACAAGCTCAAATAAAAATTGAATCATTGTAGGCAAACCTTCATTTTATTTGAGGTTTTATTTATTTATTTTTTTTACCATTGGGGTTTCAGAGGCATTTAAGGGCTCGTATGAATTATTAAATCCATTAACAGAAGCACGTGATCTGGTTGCAGATGAGTGGGTTGCCGGAGGGAATGGCAAATGGCCCAAGCAGGAGTGAACACTTAGAGAAAGATGCTCAGATTTGGGAGAGACCCTGGACTCTTGAAGAGATGCGACAAAACGGCGCCAACTGGTCCTTAGCAGCTGACTCAGGGGTAAGTCAGGAAGATCCTCCCCAGCTCTGAAATGGAGCAAAGAAACAGAAGATGTATGTTCTGTTTGGTGAATTGAAAGTCATCCTGCAAGCTATCCTGTCTTAATAATGTCTAACAATTTCCTTTTCTTTACAGCTCTTCCTCTTTCTTCAAGATTTCTCACAGAGAATGCTGTCAAAGACACACGAGATTGAAAAGCAACTGGACAGTCTGATCCGTGACACCAAGACCACAGACAGCTGCTTGCACTCTGTCTTTAATGACTTTTTGATGCTGTCCAACACACAGTTTATAGAAAATGTAATGCATAGCTTTTAAACATTTACACTGCAATTCCTTCTTTATAGCTTAGCTGTGTCTGTACATTATGATAACTCACACAACTTATTGATGCACTATTGGAGCCACGAGTGATCCAAGGTCTCTTTTGGTGAAGTTTACACGGTGTAATCTGTCTTTTAACTTTATGTCCTGTTTCAGAGAGTGTATGATGAAGAAGTAGAAGAGACTGTACCCAAGGCTGAGGCTTCAGAAAAGAAGCCTGAGCAGGTACGTTAAGAAATTCAGCACAGGTTACTCGTATTTCTTGAACTATTCCCATAACTATGATTATGTGTGGTTTTCCTTAAGGAGAAGTCTCGAGAGCAGAAAGAAGCAGAATTGATACCCAAGATGCAGGAAGCTGTGAATTATGGTCTGAAAGTGTTGGAGTCGGCCTTTGAGCATCTGGACATTAAAGCAGGAAACTCTGACTCTGAGGATGAGGAGGTGTCAGACAGAGCAGATGCAATCCTAGAGCCCAAGGTGTGCTTTCATCTTTGAAGCATTAAAGGGGATTATTGTAATAACTATAGAAAACCTATTAATAATGTTTCTTTACATTAATTTAATTTATTTTCTGTTTACTTCCTGTTTCCTGAACCTTTAGGATCTTTATGTGGACAGACCACTGCCGTATCTGATTGGTTCCCAGGCCTTCATGGAACAGGATGATGTTGGACTTGGTGACCTATCAAGTGATGGTAAAGTACTCATTATTACTGACAATAGCTTATGTAGGCACTCGCATAAAGTAGCGTATATTTCTAACAGTGTTTCTGTCATTTCAGAAATGTCAGTTGACAGTGACAGGGACAGTGTGATTGAAAGTGAAGATGACAAGGAAG